TCATATTAAATAGGCACCTACCACATACATTTAAAACATATATGAAAAGACTGATGACTGTTGATGATGCGAAAGAGGTATGCAAGAATCCTAGCAATTGGCTTTCCATAGTCTCTGCCTATCCCGGTGGGAGACAGGCGTGAAGTTGTGTATATATTTATATATACACAACTGAGCCTGACAGGTTATGTATTTATATATTTAAACATAATTTTAATAATACGTTTTTTGTGGTCTAGTCTTTTTGTTAACCGTTTTTGTGCATAGTCGGGCCATTTCATAAACAAACTATATGACGTATTTAGATACGTCTAATTGTACTACAGATTTGGTATTCTGATGAACACATGCATGCCATATACAGACTGTAAGCATAACAATACGGTCTTATTAAGTTACCTACGTCTATTACCAAAAAAAACCTTAAAAAAATATTGAAGCTAAGTTTTTTAGCTACCTTATCTGTTTTTATTGTTGTTTTTTTTATTTTATAAAAGATTTTGATTTCTATTTATTATCTGTCCCATCTAGATAAATAAAGGATAACTCCATACAATAGGTATGTTCAATATTTTAGGGTATGTTACCCCTATTATGATTAGAAGCCCCTTTTATAAATAATGTTTTTATCGAACGATATTGATTTGAATAGATAAGGGGTCACCTATTCTAGTTATAGATACAGAAGTATTAAATTACATTAAAAAACAAAACAATCTCGTTTTGTTTGTTTCAATAGGATTTTTGTTTCCATTCTTTTTGTTTATTAATTAACTTCTGCAGTAATAGGACATTGCATAATGTATGTTTGTGCACATTATTACGTTATGTGTATAAGTAATATTTATAAAATGGTTTTGCAATATTTTTACAAACACATAAATTTGGCCTACAAAAAATAAAAAAAAATCCACCTTGAGATATAACGTAATGTTTATTAACATACATAACACACCTTTTATCCTCGAAAGGGTAGAGGAGACGAGGTGCACATTACGGCATTTATGCCACTGTACAATGTAACACCTACTTTTCACTATTTATGTTATGAGTCCCATATAATAGGGGGTGAGCCTATTGCCATATACCGAGCACAATTCCAGACTCTCTGCTACTACTGAGAATTGTTTTTTAAAATCCCAATAATAAATTGTTCGTCCCGGCAGTCTCAATGTGGACCACTCGGCCAACGGAGGCATTTTCGAAAATAAAGACAAACAAAATTATAAACATCCAATGTTTGTTAACAAATAAGCAGACATCAGTAAAATACCAGTCAACAATTGCATCGAAAATAAAAAAAAATTAACTACCGCTAAAAACAAGCAGTTTAACCTTCGACGTAACCACCCAAGTTTATTAAAAATATCTTAACACCTCATTTAACAGTGAGGCATACAATCAAACTTCGCATCGTATAATGAAGTTCTTTAACTCGGCTCAGCAGCTTGCAAGAATCCTGCTCGCCTTGGTTATTTCCTACTTGTCCACTACTTTTGCTCGCCTCGCCTCGGTACCAAAGTTATCGATAAAATTATGATCGCAACACTTTTGTTTGTATTTACAGCCATCGTCAGATTATAAGTGCGCTCTGCTGAGCAATGGCTGGCATGGAGAAGGTTTGAGTATTAATCACTACGTTTCCTCAACACTGGTTAGCGATTTCAAACCAATATATAATATACTTTTATAAAACTTCAGGTTTCCTCACGTTGTTTTTCTTTGCCGTGCCTGCCTATGTTTAGATCATTAGTACTACATTACGGATTTTGGTGCGATTTTTTAATAGATATAGTGAATTAAGAAAAAGGTGTATATAGTAGAGAAATATTAATAACCGTGAGAGACCAGGGCGGGTCGCTAGTTTTATCGATAACATCATGATCGCTTTTATTTGTAGCTACGGTAGCGATACGGTAATATCATGTCGATGCTACCTCTTGGTACAGGGATTTCGGAATTGTGTCCAGAAATTCCTTTCGTCTTTTATTTTTTGCTATTTAATGTATTGAGAGTTCGTAATGTTTGTTGTAGTTTTATATAACGAAGTTGGTATTCAGTTTTAGTCTTTATTTTGTGAAGAAACAGGTACCATGGTATTAAATTGAATCGCAATGTAGGTATGTATTAACTGTGTTTTGTAATTTTGAGCTATTGTTTGGATGTTATTTCTTGTTTGTGTAAAATAATAAACAGACAATGAGCTCTTTATCACACGAAATTAGGTATTTTCTCACGTTGGTAAAGACATATGTGAATTTTACGCCTCAAATTCTGTTCAAACATTAAATAAATGCGTTTTTTTATACGTCACAAAATTTAAATCTTATCTTTTAAAAAAAGATTTCTTCCGGATTCGGAAATGACAAAAAATATCGATAACAACGAAGGAAGTCCCTATTAGCGGAGAAGTGTTAATTTTCATTCAAACGTTCGTAATCATTTTGGCTAACACAAACACACAAATTGTGGAATTTCATATCCTTATGCAATATGAATAGTTACTGCGCAGCTTCTTAGTAGGTTAATAGTACTTTGGAATAGTATTTGCGAAATAAATACAAATAACTTGTCTTGTGTTGGTACCTGGTTTTACGTATCGGTTTTACGTTTCTGATTGAGATGTTATGATGTAAAATAAACATGTTATTGATAGACTTTTGAGTAAGGCAGTTTTTCTTTAAATTACCACAAGCATATATTAACGGATCTTCCAAATAAAAGTATTATTTCTTCACCATACAGGGTGTGTACACCATACGAAAGGCCCCCAAAACCCTGACAAATAGAAATTGTATTTTTTTATAGTCTTCGTGTTGTTCATGCTAAATTAGTATTGAGATAGATTACAACTATTATCACATAAAAGAAACATTTAATTCCTTACTTTTATGAAAATAAAACTAGTTTTTTACCATGAACTGTCGCCGTTATTCGAGGGCCTTCCGTCTTACACACTGTATATAGTATATATTAACATCCACAGTCTGTCCGGGACAGATCACTGCTAGACTTTAAACTTAGTCTATGTATGTACTTTTTTTTAAGGGGGGAGAATCATCGAATGACTGCTCCTGCCTGGGTGAGGCGGGAGGGAGTGTCAGACTCTTACTGACTGAAAACCACCCCGTTCCTTCTTCTGCACGTCGAACCGGAGCCCCGGTAACCCGTTAGGTTCTCCGCGACTATGTATGTACTTAGGGTAAGAATTTAATAACAGTAAAGGAGTTCAGGATATCATAATTAAAATATTGTTTTTCAAACTTAGCTGATATTGACGTACATTGTGATAACTGCTGGTAGTCAAACTCAAGGTACTCAATCGATAGCTATAAAGTTCAATATTAAATAATAAATAAACTTCAAAGAAAAAAAACGGTACTCAAGCAAAAATCCTTCAAGATTTATACACGAACATTAATTCTTCGATAATTTTAGGACCTGTTTATCTATAAAGGCTATCAGGTAACAACATAATATTTTATGCATGTTTAATAAAGATAATGTCGACAAAAAGAAATATACAGATTCTGTACTGTACTTGTTTCCTAGAACCAGTGTTATGGCCATGGATTATGGAGTTGAGGAGTTACCACCTTACGGGAACGGGAATCATAAATAACTATTGAAGAAACGTTCATCGGAATTCGTAGTATTTTTCTTCAATAGCTGCCAAAGTTACTGTACTTTTATAGTAACTTATTAAAGTATTTACTATCAGTTATTGTTATCCTGACAACTTTTTAAAATTATACCAAATGACCCACCAATTTTCGCAATGGTTAGATGTTATCTGATGCAAAAAATTTGCTTTGATTTTTTTTTAAGTTTTCGTACATCTTCATTTTGTTGTACTTATTTTAACTGACACTTTTAATACATACAGACGGGTACTCCTCATTCCATACTCCATGATTATGTTGATTATATTCTATACATGTTACAACTTGTTCGTAACTTCGAACAGCTGATGGGCAACTTTGTTTTTATAACACTACGTACATTAAACACTTAATAAATATTTTTAATTCAATTATCGATACTTTAATGTCCTTTATACAAGGTATCGATATTATAAATAATTATCTACACCTTTATTAAAAAAGAACTTTAAGAACTAGTTTTTATCGATATATTTTATTGAAATGTTGAGGACATGCCTATTAAAAATGACAGATAATGTTTCAATCTTAAATGTTAATTAGTTACTACTTTTTGACATTTGACCAATGTCACTTTGAGATATGATTGTATCAAAAGTTAGAGATATTGTTTTTTAAATCATTCATTGGCATTCGTTTGTACCTGTTCATAAATTACGTCTCGATACGTTTTCAAACACATCGAGTTGATCGCAGGAGTAAAGCTAAGTGCTTATTGCAAAACATAAAATCCCTTTTAAACTAACTTGTAATACTTAGGTCTAGATTCTAGGTAATAACATAAGACCTTAATTAATCAAGTCAGTCAAACAGCCGTTGAGTTGTTACAAAATTATTTACATAAATCAAGTAAGTCGTGTTTTCGTCAACTTAGTTGCGAATAACAGATAAACTGAGACAAATCAGTTCAATGTCAAATATTTTTAAAAATAATTGATGTCTTAACGAGTTTTTTTTTCATGCTTATCTATTTTATTGCAGTAATTTTTAGCCTCTTTTCACTAAGTTATGATTTCAAATTACATTTTTAATGTATCACTTTACTTTTTTCTAGAATGTATTGTGTACACATCATGAGCTTGTTTTGTTTGTAAATATCGAATGTCAAACAACACAGAACGTGATTACGTCTAACTGTAGAAACGAAACTTGCATCGTGTCAGCTGTTCCAATGACCTTGGCTTACGATTCAAACTGTCGACTCGATTAACTACTGATCCAAGACAACTCTATACAGCCAACAGATGTCTATTTACTCAATAAAGCCCTACACAAATATGTTGTACACAAACAATGACACACACATTAGCGCTCATCACTTAGTAAGCAAGACCTTACCGTTTTGCCACACTAGTGCAAAGGGAGTGCAATCCTCGTCGCGAAGCCATTGTAGTTCGCTAATTATAGTAGACATATCAGCAACGAACGACATTAAAACATGACAGCATAACTCCACAACACATCAAAATCACATCACTAGCACAAAAAAACCCGCGAACGAATCAAACGTTCCATCAGACCACAACACTATTACAAACATCCACAAAAATACTGACAATCTTTACAAAAACACTGAAAAACTTTCGCTGACAACTAAAAATCACCGATATCACGTTACAATTGATGTTACGAAACGTCAGCTTGACAGATCGTAACTCGGGGTGAACGAACGGCGTGCGCAAACGCAGCATACGTGCGGCGCGCGCGATCGATGCCAACCGACTGGCTCGACAACTCGAGTAAACACTAGCGCAGCGGGGGGCTATCGATAACCTTCCGAATATCGACAAACAACATCACTAGTGGTAGTCCGCTACCTCGTGTGAAACTGAAGGCCGAATTTTTACGGTTTAACATAAGGTTAATGTAACTTGTTCGGTATTTTATTGATGATCTGAACGTAATGTGAAGTGAGACTCTGAGATTTTGTAACTGCCTGGCCTTTCGTCGGGTTAATTATTATTGCGGTTATTTTGTCGTTGTTTTTATTATTATTGTTTTATTATGAACAGTTTTGTCATTGTGTGCGCTATAGATTGGTTGTTATATGCGTGCGTGTGGAATGTTGGTTGCGTGTTTGATGCCTGTTCGACATTTTTTATTGTGTGACCTACAATTTCCGTTCAGGTTGTAAACTGTAACCGAACTACGTTACAAATCACAATAGTTAGTAGCAACTCTTGCGCATGTGGGTAATTTTGACCATTTAAACTAGAATTTGATATATTTTTAGGAATCAGAATTATTGGAATAGTTATCTCGAATTGTACTGTATATGATACATAATAAAGTAATACAAATTAAATTAATAAAAATCACTCCAACAGGAGTAAGGATCAAACTCAGGATCGACTGCTCGACAGTCAAAATTCTGACTCCTCAACTTTATTTTTGTTGCTAACCCCGACTGGCAACAAAAAATACTAAAACAACAATCAAAAGAAAATAAATTTGTTAAAATAAAGTAAAGATCGCTAATTAACCTTTGACCTTTCCCATTAATTAGCTTTATAATTGATCATCTAAATTTTAAGCAGATTTAATCTAAAAATAGATTTTTTTTGCTACAACGCCAACTTTGCTTTTTAATATTTTATTATTAACAACTTGGCATTTTTAGACACGTCTTTATCTCGTTAAGTTACAGGTCTGAATATAGCTCAATTATAAAACAGAATATTTTCATAGGACATTATCTATGATACTCACGTGAATATACTGATAAAAACTCTACTAGTTTCGAACCACAGAGGGGTTCTTCCTCATGAGCAGCGTGCGCGAAACTAGTAGAGCTTTTCTCAGTATATTCACGTGAATAACCCGCGATTTTAGTTAATTTAGTATGTCTCACGATAGTTATTATAACAACACAGTAAATAAATATAAATGGCACTCGTCCTGTCCTGTAAGTATTGCGTAATTTATCCCATGCCTATGACTCTCATGGGGCAAAACTTATCTACATCTCTGTATGTAGGTATTTCAATTTCCCAAACTCCGTAATTAGGTCTAGATGATTATTTTGTTGATTAGAACCTGATAACGGATACGAGTTGTGCACGCACGTCAGCGCACGCTGCTCATGAGGAAGAACCTCTCTGTGGTTCGAAATTAGTAGAGCATTGCTCAGTATGACCCCTGATTTTTAGTTAATTTAGTATATCTCACGATAGTATTACAAAAACTCCAACCTTTATATGAATAGTTATCGTTTATGATGTTAATCCTATAAAACAAGAGTCTATTTTTAACAATTATTTTCTGTAACCATTTCAACCTCTTTAAACGTTTATCTTAATTTTAATATATACAAACTGAGTCAAACAATATAACTGACACAATCTAAATATAAACATTACTATCTATGTCTTACTGATAACAAATTGTAAGGCAAACAAATCTCGAATTTGGGGTGCACGGGAGCATGTCAGAGCAGTGTCATCATTTTGGTAGTGATAATAGTAGTAATTCTGATGTAAGCGAAGTATTTTTAAATGTTATATTTTTACTATGTAGGTTACTGCATCTGCTATGACTGCCTCGTTGGCTGATTGGTCGCTAGTGTGACTGCCGGGCCCTTGCCCGGGAATCGAACCCGTAACGAGCAGGGAATTTATTATTGGGTTTTTCAAAAAAAATCTCAGTCACGGAGTGTGGAACTGTCCCTGTATATGGCAATAGGCTCACCCCTTATTCCATGGAACTTAACATAAATAGTGAAAAGTGGGTGTTACATTGTACAGTGGCATAATGTGTACCTCTGCCTACGAGGATAAAAGGTGTGATGTTATGTTATGTATATAGGTCAATATGGTACTTACTATTGAATTGATTGTATAGTGATTTATTCCTATCCAAGATCTCCTAAAAGAGAGTTGTTTTTTTTTAAAATGGAAATCACAATAACAAAGGATTTGTAGTGTGGTAGAGCCACGCTTCGGCACGGCTTCGGGCCGGCCAGAAAACCGACGTGAAATAACGATTGCCTGCCTTGTGTTTCGTCGTGTGAGTGAGGTTACCGGAGTCCCAATTATCGCCTTCCCCAATCTCCCCAATCCCTAAATTCCCAACTTTCCTCAAATTCCTAATCCGCAAAAGGCCGGTAACGCACCTGTAACGCCTCTGGTGTTCCAGGTCCATGGGTGACGCCGAATGTTTACCATTAGGTGATCGGGCTGCTCGATTACCGGCTTATCTCATAAAAAAAATGTAATTGTGACCTCATTCAATAGACTTCGAACTTTTTGTTCATGTAATTCTTTTCTACAAATGTAATGCATAATTATTAATCTTTAACTTACGTAAACATTATATTACTACTTAACAATATTTGTGTTTGTATTGTTGATGTGTCTATGAAAAACAAACAAGCAAATAGTCAATACCTTTATAACATTAAGGGCCGATTTTTAAATGCTCATTTAAATATCAAAGGAATAACTTTAAATATTTGACAATTCTTCTATACTAATAACTGTCAAATGTCAATTTTATTCTACAGTTCAGATTTAATTGATGATTGAAAAATCGGCCTTAAGCATAGACTAAATTCTAAGTCCACCGCGCGGGCCTGCGGACGGTGACCATGTGTAGCACGTCGTTGGACCAGAACCAGACCTGAGCTTAGGGCGCGTCGCGTTAAGCGCGTGCCTCAAGTGCCATCAGACCACCACGGATGGGGCCCAATAGCGCTGATGCCGATACTTAGCCACGGAGTACTTTACGGGTTGCCGGGGCTCCGGCTCGAAGGGCAGGAGTAGGAACGGGGTGGTTTTTGTTAGTAAGAGTCTGACACTCCCTCCCGCCTCACCTAGGCGAGAGAAGTCATTCGATGATTTCCCCCCTTAAAAAAAGTATCTAGACTAAATAGACTGGTATAGACAATGATGCAACCTCTAATCAAACCCGGCCTCTAGTACCATTACAGTTATTACTTCTTTTTTTGAAAAACTCCGCCGTATTATTAAAGTACGCTAGCTTCCATAATAATTCGCGTGAAGTTACATATTATAATGGCGTGTAACGACCAATTATTTTGCACGGAAGTGTATAATTGATGTGCTGGATGCTCGCCAATGTACGGACGGCTGCAGATTAAGTTATACTTTATTTTATAATGTTGTAAGTACTTCTTTAACTGGTGCTGATGGTAAATGGTGATCATCGGATGGTGTGGGAAGTGTGGGTGAGCCATGCTTCGCCACGAATGGGCCGGCTCGACCGGAGTGATACCACGGCCTCACAGAAAACCGACGTGAAGCAACGCTTGCGTTGTGTTTCGTCGTGTAAGTGAGGTTACCGGAGGCCCAATTACCCTCCACTTCTCCAATCTCCCCAATTCCTGAATCCCCAACGATCCTAAAACTCCTAATCCCTAAATGGCCGGTAACGCACTTGTAACGCCTCTGGTGTTCCAGGTGTCCATGGGCGACGCCGATTGCTTACCATCAGGTGATCCTTCTGCTCGTTTCTCGGCTTATGCCATAAAAAAATCGGAGTAGTTCTAGTTTAGTGATAATCTTACATCGTCTTATAGTCATGGTAATCCGGAGGTTCAAGATGACCGCTTCTCATACAGAGGGGTTCGAAACTTACCAACGCAACGGCAAGTAGCAATGTGACTTTTTTCGAGTTATATGTACCTATTTAATAAGAATTCTTTTTAAAAAAAAAACGTTGCCCCTCACTAGGATTATCTCCTGTGTCGTGAGTTTACAAATATACAAGTTCATATACACATGACACCCAGACCCATAACAACAATTTGTGGATCACACAAAGTGTTGTTTCGTGTGGGAATCGAACCCGCGACACGTTGCACGGCAGCCGGTTGCCTAGCCACCGCACCAACCGTGCAGTCATACTTCATAGAGTCAGAATACTTAGACACCACGGACAAACGGTGAAGGAAAACATCGTGAGGAAATCTGGGCTTATAATCCATCCAACCCTATGGTAGTCTGGAAGAAATCACCATTGTATGGTAAGACCGCCCATTGTACACACATTTACTTAAATTGGTTATAACCTAGGCTACTTAAATGTATACAAACATAACATCACGCCTTTTATCCCTGAAGGCGTAGGCAGAGGTGCACATTCTGGCACTGATGCCACTGTACATGTAACACCATCTTCTCACTATTTATGTTATCAGTCCCATGTAATAGGGGGTGAGCATAAGCTCACCAATATTCGCCATAGCAATAGTGTTATATACAGTGCTTCTATCGAGTTTTTTTTTAAACTCAGTAATAATTTGCCCGACTTGGGAATCGAACCCGAGACCCCTTGCCTGACCGAGACCATTCGGCCAACAAGGCAGCCCTTTTGAAGACGTTCCTCATTATCAAAAAATAGAACAACCTATACTGATCCGACAAGTTCCTTTAACAAACTTTCAACTCTAGCATTTTGAAATAGAGTTTAAAA